CCGCGCGGTGCTGCATGGATATAAGAACGTGCAGCCGTAGCCACCGTAGCGGTTGTTGGCGAGATGCCTGCGTGAAACTCGTCCGAAATTGCTTTTTGAGTCATTAAAGGCAGTTGGCACGATGGTTTCCTACTTAGCCTAAAATGCTAGTAGGGCGCATAGTGGGAAATGGCGAAAGAACGGAGTGAAACGGTCAAAATCCTGCGAAGAAAAAGCCTCCGTTCTCAGTGACTTGTAAATCGATTTCGGACGAGTTTCCCGTAGGCATCTTACCAATCACCGCTACCGAAGATACGGCTGCATATGTGTACCCATGTATGCATGCAGCATCACGGCCGCTTCATACCAATCCCTTCGCTTCATAATTTGCTTAGCAAATGAATGAATACGAGCGTCAGGAACGGTCGTCCATTTGTGGGCGGGCGGGCGTGGCGGGCGTTTGGGACGTAAAGTTGTGGCTTGATAGGGCCCTTATAAGGGCACCTTCCTCGGGGAAACCGCTATGCAGCGCCTGCCCAGGGTCGCGGAATTCTATCCTGCCAGGAGTATTGATCCTAGTCGCCTTGGGGGATTTATCGTGCCAACTGCCTTGAAGGCTTTTCTTGGCAGGTTTTTGACCGTTTCACTTCGTTTCTTTTGCCATTTTACCACTACATAGCACAATGCTAGCATTTTAGACCAAGTACCAAATTATCGCGCAGTAGGTCTTTGATAGAGCGTTATAAGGGTCCCATCCTTGTCAAAGGCGCCACGCAGTGCCTGCTAGGGGGCGCCGAATGCTACCCTGCTTGGCGCATTAATCGTACACATCTTGGAGGATTTGTGTGCCACTCGCATTTAGGAGCGCGTTATTCAGGAAGTGCGTAGCACGGAATCGTAGGGATTCTTGGACGTGTACGGGGCGTCTGGAAGACAACCTGTAATTGGCAATGATCAGCCTTGTCGTTAACTGAGCATCCTACCTGGGAAGGCGGAAAGTTTTTCATAATACGAACTACGCAACGTGTAAGTTGCCGTCGCAATAAGCCCTTTGCGCTGTAACATTAGGGTCTGATGGCACAAAAAAAGATTTACTTCGAACAGATGTCAACTGGGATCAGGGCCGCAAGAGTATGGTTTTTGTTATAGATCTCTACAGTTACTCTACAGTAGTTATATCTAATCATTTATTTACTGCTGGCAGCGACTTTCAAACCACATATTATATCACATACTCTCAGTGAATCCTGGAGATGGGTAGGCGTGGCTGCGCTGCTCATTCAAACGTGGCCTACGTTTTTTCTTCGTGGAGTCGTTTCCATTCTGAGATAATAGTGATTCCGGGACTCATTCTGTGGTGGAACAGCGAACATATGCAAGCGTCCCAAATGTGATATTCCAAGAATAGCACAACCGCCGCTAAGTCTGAAGGAAGAATATAGCCATGTTCCCCTACCTGTAAAGCAAAAACTAGAATGCGGCTAGCGTATTCTGCATAAGCACTCTTATTTCAAACGAGGGGTCCAGCAGCTCTCCAATTGTCGACGGAGGTCTCCAAATTCGAGGCCATGTGAGACACCGACCGACCCGATCTCGACGCGATCTCTTCATCTCTTTCGGTTTTACAGTACGGTCTAACAGTGACACGACACGATGAACCCTTGCCAACAACCTCGTTTATTAGAAGAATCTCACTGAACCACACTTCCTAGAACTCTTCAAATCGAGTTGATCCAGACCTATTTCATTTTCAGTACAGTAATCTCCCACTTTGGAGCGTTCATGCTAAACGACTGGATGATGCAGATTCTAGTGTCTCTACCTCAATTTGCCCCCAGTAACTTTCATGAAGGAATCGAAGGGATGGAAAAAGAGAGTGAGATGGGGTGCAAATAGAGGATATAGTATACAATCTGTGGGGCTTTTAAGAAGTGGAAAGCAGCATGTTGAAGCTGCTATCCACCATACAGGGCACAGCATCGTTGTGTGAAACACAAGGGGGGGGTCGTACTTTTGCTTGGGGAGGGGGGTCGTATTTGTTGGAGACAAATTTATTTTGATAGTTGATTTTATCTTGTGGAAAAGTGGGGGGTCGTATTAATTTTTTTATATGCATTATATGCACCTGTACACCCGCCGGATATACGTTGCATAATTATTGTACACCCCCCCGCCAACTTTTTCGCGACTATATACTCATGGCTCGGCGACTGGGCGAAGAAGGTGTCGAAGGGTGGGGGGGTCGTACCCCACGCGAAAAAATAGGGGGGGGTCGTGGCCTGTACCCCATCAGGAGGGGGGGGGTCGTACTCTCACCGACATTTCGCTATCCTATGCTGCTACCCTGTCCATATTAGTTGCATTTTCTTACTGTCCGCTATCCGATCACTTCCTGTCTGAAAAGTATTTCTGATGGCGTTCGATGGTGAATGGACCAAATCGCACGCGAGATTCATGCTCAGACGGACAATAACTTCTTTTTTTACCGCGACCTTTCAGAACTAAAGGACTTCATGGAGCGCAATATTTCCTCTTTCCAACAGATGCTAAGTTTTCCTGAAGGCCTGCTAGTCCAGAAGATATTTCATATGGGGTTTCGATGGGCGAAGTTGTAAGCACACTCGAAAGTTCACTCCTACTAAACTGTAAGAATAATCACTTGGAAACATTAATATGTCTTCAGAGCACAAAACAAGTGTAAAGCAGTTTGTTTATCATCGATCGCGTAAGTGTGCGCCGTGCACGACGCTCCCACGTGGAGGTTGTGGAAAGGTGTAACTTCTAATGGTAGGCAATTTTGTCTATGCAAGCAGATGTCTTCGTAGGGTTCGAATGAATTGCTATTTAATTATTTAATACCAGTTTGGCTGACGCGCACTACTGCGCGAATGGTTCAGTCTGTGGTACTGATCTATGAAAGGATTTCTGTGTTGACCCCTAACACTAACAACACAACAATTTGCTTCACAATGCGGCCCATTTCATGATATTTCCATATTTCTCCTCTTTAATGAGCGATTGCCAATGTGTTTATCAGATTTCTATAAACACTCATCATTCGTTGGCGATAGAACGGCTTAGCGGTTGAAGTTTAACAAATCGAATCTAGTGAAATGTGCTCGTACATCATCAACACTTTCCGTTGAGCAGCTTTTCAATATCCGCCTTGTTGTGCGCCCTACATTCCCCACAGTCGAACAACTTGGAGTTTTCTTTTTTGTCGAAGCTCGAAGTTTATCGGCCTACTGTAACCGCAAATAGCGATAGAAACATTCGGCTTTTGCCACTGATTCCAAGGGCCACGGTAATCAACATCAGTCGCAGCGGAGTAAAGGTGGAACGGATACTGACCCTTGTCGTACACTGTATCACAACTTATATCCCACCACCAATGTACCCTAACCACCTCTGAATTGCTTACTGGAAGAAGTTCCCCAGTGTGCTACAACTCGTGCATTGAATTTTGTGGCTTCCTAATGTTCCCATCCTGCCCTCCCCCGTCGTACTTCTTGGAACCGATCGTCCAATGTTGCTGGGCTGCGTTGTTATTAGTCACCTCCCCTCTGAAGCTCCTCAATGTATACTCGAAATCCCTGAGATTGGGGACGAGCGCGGGCAGTCCCCCCCCCCCCCCCCCCCCCCCCCCCCCCCCCTTTTGAACCTGTAAAGACTGGTGTACTAGGATATTCCAATCCTGGCGACAACTGTCATCTTGTCTCTGTGTTGGACAGAGGACGACAACGATTGTGTCGAGATGAAAATATCGCATCAGAAGCGTAGACGCCTTAAGGTAAGTTGAAACATGCGGCCACGCCTACCCGATCTCAGGGATCTCGAGTGTATCTTATCAGCTGTTATCACTCCCTGCCACCGAAACATGCGGCCACGCCTACCCGATCTAAGGGATCTCGAGTGTATCTTATCAGCTGTTATCACTCCCTGCCACCCACCAATGATATAACCATCCTGCCCCCTAATCTTACTCCTTGGAATCGACGTCTCCTGGTTGCTGCGGCCCGCCGCGCTCATGAATTAGGTAACCCACTCCTTCTAAGGCTCCTTATAGTATCTTATCAGCTGCTATCACTTCCTGCTACCCACCAATGATGTTCCCATCCTGCCCCCTATTTCAGTTCTTGGATCCAACGTTCGGTCGTTGCTCTGGCAGGTGTTATAAATCAGGCAACCCATTCCTCCTGAGCGAATCCTTATGTATCTGATATAACCGTATCACTCCTGTCACCTCCAATAGTGTTCCCTCCTGCCCTTATCTTACTACTTTCGGATCCAAAGTCGGGTCGTTGCTCTGCCGGTGTTATTATAGTATATTTAGGACAGCCCACTCCTTCTAAGGCTCCTTATGGTATCTTTATCGACTGTTATCACTTCCTGCCACCCACCAACAATGTTCCTGCCCGGCCCCCTACATCACTTATCAATTTGAGCGCACTATCGCTGTTTTGAAAGGAAGTTATGAATTTCCGGTCAACACACATAAAAGACAGACACACAAACATTCACCACACCACACACACCAACAGACAAGCTTAGCGGATTAAATATAGTAGGATTTCGTTTTCACACATTCGGGCTCCCGCAGCGCTTCTTCCGCCCACAAAACTTATCGTTGACCCGTTTGGGCTGCCTCCGGTGCCTTGAAGACCCTACGGCTACGACCTTAGCGACTGAGGTCGACCCCCTGATTGGGTTTTACGCAATGATGCTGTACCCTGTGTTAAATAAGCCCTATGTCATCTCCCTCGAAATGTTTTTTATTACTTGATGGATTTCTCAGTCCGGAAATTAATCACAAGGGTGTGACTGATTTTTAAACACCTCATCGATTCCGTTCCATCAGGAACAGCTGTAGACAAGAGAGGTGCTTTGAAGTACATTCCAGAAAAGAGTTCCATTTTCAAACGATATGAAAAATAACAAATTCCTAGGAGAGAATGAAAAATGTCTTGGAGGTTTCAGTTACTATACAGCTAATGCTTTCAGCGTCGGTCATCTTGTCATCAATGAACTCGTCAGTTGACCCATGCTCCGATTTTTACGAGTATGCATGTGGTCAGTGGATACGGGGTCATCCAATTCCTGACGATGCTCCTTCAGTGAGCAATTTCGAGAACCTTGGACAAGATCTCGAGTTCGCCTTGAAAGGTTCGTCTTGCAAATACTTCACCTGTTCAAATTTTACTTGGTTTTGCTTACTTGAACTGTCTGTTCATAGCAACTTTTTCAAGCACGGAAGTTGTTAATCGCATAAAATGGTTTGGTGATGAACTAGTTGGGCGAGCGGCGCAGCTACACGTCCTCTGTGAAGTTCTGCGCGCGCGTCTCGTTGTCTGTGCCCAATAATGTCTAACTAGATATGACCACAGGTCGAACGGCCCTTTAGTGGTGGCACCTATACCATCAGACGCGCTTTGTGACGCTGACCTCGAATCTGCTTTCGAAATCGGCAAAACGATTCTTTTACCAAAGTTATGAAGTTTTTTCCTCCGCGTTGCCTCACATGGTACTGCGTGGAGGCTCCCTCCTCGTACAATATCCTCTCGAGAGCATTTGTCGGAGGTGAGGAGCAGTGGTAGTGATCTTTTGAGGAACAGGTTGCGGGATCGGACCCTTGCGGTGTTTGCGTTTTCCCTGTTTGGGAACTCGCTATGAAGAATTTCAATAATGCCACAACATCACTGTCACATTTGTTTCTTCGAAAAAGTAACAGGCAGTTTCCTACAGGTGCAAGATCCTGCCCCCTATGAAAGAAGTTTGCGTACGGTCGCCCGAAGTGCAACCCTTTTTCTGCTGAACAGGTGTCTCTGTCGTGTTGCGAGAGCTAAACTATCTTTGGGGACAGACTTCTGAGCACATGTGATACATTGACCTAACATTGATCAAGTGAGGCGGCAGTGGGTGGATAAGGGCAGCCAGTGCTTCCAGGGCCGGCCTGATACGACCCCCACCCTTAGTTTCCTCATCTAATGCAACCAAGTTGTCTGTCTAGAGGGATGGGAGGGGGTATATAGTACATATCAAGCGGAAGAAACCGCGAAATTTCAAAAACCGGGAACCATTTTTCCAAACGCCAGATTTCTCTAACTAATAAGGCAAAGCGAATGTAAAATCAACACCGTTGTCAGTTTTGAAACACGTCCTTATAGAAAGCCGAGACACTTGACATTCACGCTTATGTCTGCTCCCCTTTTCCGACCCTTACAATTTTTGCTTCATTTGTTCTTGTTTTTTATTTCTTTTGGAGTTCTGGACCTCCAAATAACTATCGATGCGGTTAAATAATTTTTTTCTGTCCCTGAGTGAGGCAAATACTTTCACCCCCCCCCTTCCCCCTCACGTGACATGTTGTGTTCTCTTGAATTCTGGGATCCTGCCGAGCGACAGAGTTAACCATTGCCCTTGAATGTATCTCTTTTCACGTATCAGAGACACACTACGTAATTTTCTGATAAGTACATACTTTCTTTCATAAGTGCGCAAGTTCGAAGCCAATAAAGGTATGCTGCCTTCGCCATACGGGACCTCTTTTAGAGAGCGCTAAACGCTTGTGACGTCTAGTGCCCGCCTATGAAGCAGGGTCCCGCCCACTAAACAATCAAGGTCAACTGCGACATGACCCGGAATGATAAAAGATCTGGTGTTAGGAGTGGCTTTAGGGGAAAAAACAGACGTCGTCACGTATTTGACAAGCGACCTTGACCA